TCGATCAGCTTTGTTTTGTTTTGATCATAAATGATTGCGCTTCTCTACCTAGTTGCAACATCGAAACTTCGATCGCGCTTTCTGTTTCTTGCTGAGTACATTGTTGGTAGCTAGGTTGTAGATTTTTGACGTATTTTTGAAACTTGGATCTCGAGCACACCATCTTCTCTAAAAATATTTTTTTACAGACCACGAGAAAGAGTACATTTGAAAATACCAAAGTCAGCTGAGTTCTCACTTTTGCTATGCTGTTTTGTGGAAATAATAGGAAAAGAAAACGTTCCAGTAAAAACAATACCAAATTTACAAAGTTTTTATTGTTTTCGCCTCGCGTATAATTTGCTTAGTTTTATTGATTGAAGTTCTGGAATTAAAGTTTAGGTATGATTTTGTAGAGAATTTCACAGCACTTCTATTAAAAAAACAATTTGTTCTAGGGAACCTAAGGAACAGGAGTAAGAGCAAAAATACTGAGACCGGGTTCACGGTTAATTTTTATTTTTTGTGAAGCACATTTCTAAGCCTATAACTTTCTTACTACATGAGCTAGCGGGATCAATCAAGAGTCATTTTGTAGCGCGTGTTTTACTGCATCTTTCCTTTATAGAGACGGATTTTCAACCATGTATTTTGTTAAAGAAAAATTTATTATACAAATCGAGTCAGGACTTCTGGCCCACCCCTTATGAGCGTGAGCGCGAGTTGTACACCCCTAGTTTTTGTTTTGTCTTTTTGTAGATGTCGAATCCAGCACAAAAAATCGTTCTTTTGATTGGTCCTCCAGGCAGTGGCAAAGGTACCTTGGGACACGCCGCTGCCGCCAACTTGCCCAACGTCCTCCATATTTCATTGGGTGATTTCGTTCGTGATGAAATGCAAGACCCAAACAGTCGATTTGGCAAGAGTGTTTCCCCTTTCGTGCACAGAGGCGAGCTCATCCCGGGCAATATCATGCTCGACATCTTAAGCAGTCGTCTCCAGCAACCCGATGCTTTGGCTTCGTCTACCATTCTTCTTGATGGTTTTCCTCGCACTCTGCATCAAGCCAAGGCCTTGAACAAAATGCTTACAGTCGATCGTGTCGTTCTCCTGCAGGCGCAAGTAGAGCTGTGCGTTGATCGTATCAATCATCGTCGAATTGATCCAGTCAGTCATCTGAGTTATCACACGGTACTGATTCCTGCACCGACTGCCCAAATAGCAGCACGTCTCGTCCGACGCGAAACTGATCTGGACGAAAACAAAATCCGTGGTCGTCTTCAATTTTTCCAGCAGAATTTGGCTTCGATTCTGGCCGTTTTCCCTGGCAAGCTCTTTGCTCTCAATTCGGCGGTCAGTATCCAGGAAGAGTTGTCCGCGTTGCAGCAAATCTTGTCTGAGCCCATCGTCGTTGAGGCTCGCAAAGATCCGGATCCTTCATCAATGCCTGCCAATCCCAATTCGAACAACAAAGTTGCTAAAGTATTGTGTGTTGTTTGCATGGACGAAGAAGCGGATGGAGTGGTCTTACCATGTGGTCATCTCTGCGGTTGTGAGCCTTGCTTGAAGATGTTGCTCAACAGTGGAGCCAAGTGTCCCATTTGTCGTGCACACATGAACTCGGTTGTCAAAGTATTCCAGAGTGGAGTTGTGGAAGAAGTCATGCAAGTGGAGCAAAAACAACCTGAGATTGTGCCTGCACAGGTTGGTTGTTTGCATTTTTTTTTGTGGTTGGGTTTTGAATTGTTCATTGCGACTCGATTGTTTACTTCAATTCATCTTTTTTGTTTTTCATATTCATTCAGGATGAGGATGATGGAAATTGGTCCTTGGCACAGCAATCCCTGTCTGTTGCATTTGCTGGTGCATCTTTGTCCTCCGCTCGCCCTGCTCTCTCCATGGCTCCAGCTGTCAAATGGGTCAATGATCAAGTCCCTCTCCCCATTGCCGTTTCCATTGCTATTCCGAATATGGCTCAGCGTTCACAAGTGGATATTTGTTGTGTCATTGATGTGAGTGGCTCTATGGGGGAAGATGCCAAATTCCAGGACCTGAACGATGCCTCCAAATTTGTCAGTGAAGGTATGAACCAACTGGACATTGTCAAGCATTCGGTCAAGGCAGTCATTCACACATTGACTGATCAAGATCGTTTGAGTTTAGTGGCCTTTCATGATGAAGCGCGTTCGGTCTTTACGCTTTCTGAAATGAATGAGGGTGGAAAGAGGCAAGCCATTGATGCTCTGGAGGCGTTGGAGCCACAAAACTCCACCAATATTTGGTATGATTCTTTTTTGTTTGTTTGTTTGTGTGAAATTGACATTCATGTCTTTGTTTTTTTTTGTTTTGTTTTGTTCCAGGGCGGGTCTGGAAGCTGGTCTTGAATCTCTTCGCACTGCTCGTGCTTCTCCACGACGTCGTTTCATTTTGATTCTCACGGATGGTCAACCCACGATCTCTCCTCCTGGTGGAGAGAATATGGCTTTGCGCTCTTATTTTGAAGCTCATGCTGGATTCACTTGCAGTGTCTCGACTTTCGGATTTGGATATCAACTCAAGAGCAAGATGCTATTGGATGTGGCCAGAGAAGGCAAAGGCACCTTTGCATTTATTCCTGATGCCAAAATTGTGGGTACTTGTTTCGTGAATTTTGTGGCCAATGCTTGTACCAATCTAGCATTGGATGCTAAAGTGCATTTGGAACCACAAAATGGGGCTATTTTCCCTCCTGTATTGCATTCTTCCTTTCAGCGAGTGCCTTGGGGTTTGGTCTTTGATTTAGGACCACTGCACTTTGGTAGTCATCGAGATCTGATTATACCTATGAAGATTCCCGTCGATGTTCACGACCATCACCATCCGTTTCTCAAAGTCACTGTGGAATGGAACTCTGAAAACAACAACCACAAAGAATCCTTGATTGGTTCTGATTTCGTGGTGACTGCCGATGCATTGGCTGCTTTTGCTCGTATGTCCAGTGTTCATTCGTTGGAACAAGTCATCGACAAGTGTGATGCTACCGACCCAGCCGGACCTAAAATCTTGAAAACTCTGATTGGACAACTCATTGGATTGGAAGCGACAGCGAAAGATGCTCGTATTACAGCTTTGTTGAAAGGCGATTTGCAAGAAAGAATCAGCAAAGCCGTTTCTACTGTGGAGCGATACCAACGATGGGGAGCGCACTATTTGCGAGCGATTTTGAGATCGCATGAATATCAAATGAGGACCAATTTCAGTATGTTTTTTGTTTGTGTGTATGTTTTTTTGGGGGGGGGGGGGGGAGGCATTGATTTTCATTTTCTTCACTTGTTTTTGTTCGATCTCTTTTGCAGTGGACCCAGGTCTTCAAGTCTATGGCGGTGTTCTATTTTCCGAATTAGTTCATTCTGGTGGCGAGATTTTTAAAGGATTGCCTTTGAAAAAGTACTCTGACCGTGATGCCAACAGCAACAACAATAAGAGTAACAACAATACTATAGCTGCTGCTGTGGCTGTGGCTGATAATTATTATGCTGGTAACAATGGAGGTTGCTTCAGTGGGGAATGTGTTGTGCAATGCAAAGAACAAGATGGAATGGTCAGAGAGAAACAGCTCTCTCAGGTTGGTGATTATTTGTTTGGTTGATTTGTTTTTTGTTTGTTTGTCTTCATTGCATTGTATTGTGTTCTTTTTTTCTTCTCCAGGTTCGTTCTGGCGATTGTTTGCAAGTCGTTGATGCTGCTGGTCATGTTGGTTTTTCTCCCGTCCTCTGCTTGGTAGAATTTCAAGGACGCTTTGATTTGCTTGTTTTGCCCTTTTCCCGTCTGGCTCTCACACCCACGCATCCTCTTCGAATGCAAGGTTCTTTCGTTCGACCTTGCGATCTGTCATTTCCTATGAATGATGATCTGGCTGCTCATCATACTGAGATGCCTTCCTCTTTGATCGTGGATCGTGTTTTCAATGCGGTCTTGCAGCATTCTCATGTTTTGCTTTGCATCAATGGCATGGAAGCGGTTACGTTGGGTCATGGATTTATGCAGGCCTTTCATCCATTTTATTCAACGAAACAAGTGTTGACGGCATTAGAACAGAGACCAGGGTGGAAAGAAGGTCATGTCATCGTGGCTCCTCATCATCCTTTGCGAAATCAACATGAATATTAAAATTCAAAAACCCAATTTGGGTGGGGCAGATAGCTGCTCTTTCTCTCCGAGTGTTTTTGTTGTTTTTTGTTGTGAGAATGACATTATTATTGTGTTTTTTTTTGTTTTAATGGGTTCCATTTCCTTTTGGTTCAAAGGCTTGAATACCTGTGATGGCTTTGCCCAAGATCAAGGCGTGAATGTCCTGTGTGACAAAAGGAAAAAATAAAAAAGAGAAAGATATGAAAAAAAATGGTTTAATAATAATCATAATACTAATTAATATAATGAACAAAAATAACAAAAACAAAGAAAATAAGAATTGCACAATCCATCACATGAAAAAATAAAAATAAATAAAAAATAACAAACAAAATGAACAAGCCATCGTTGTTGATTCCTGTGTGATTGTGAGTGAGTGTATTTGAATGGGAGAAAAATTGTTTGTTTACCTGAGTTCCTTCATACGTGATGACTGATTCTAGATTCATCACACG